CTCCTTTGACAAAAGTTCAGGAATTAAGGCAGTTAATGCATGGGGGATGCATTTATCTTTGGTATGGACAGGGTAAATCTGTGATGCCTGACTGGATGTTCAGTAAACCTTCCACTGATTATACTGTGTTGGTTTAATGCTGACAGTCCTTTGAAACAAGTTATGACATTGTCAGTCGTCTCAGAAAGAGACAGCTCAACAACTGATACATTTAAGCAAGAAATTTTGGCTAAAGGATTATGTGCATCAGTCTCTCTGTTGTACTGACTTTGTAGTTCCTGGCTTTGTTATGCAGTCTCTTCGATCATATGGGCACTGAGACAGAGTACGGGGGCGGAGCAGCAAAATGAAGATTAAGTGAGAGTCAAGGAGGGAGAAATGGGCTGTAGTTACTTTAAAACTTGCAGAAAGTCTTCGCCAACAAGCCAGACTGTCTGCTCACTCGCAGAGAGATGGCAGGGGAGGAAATGAGGATTTTCTTTTCTTGTTCCTTTCTAATAACCAGAAGCCAGGGGCCGCACTTGTGGTATCAAAAACATTAGAAAAACCTCAGCTGCAGCATAGACTTCTTTTGACCAGCCAACGCTTAAACCTTGGAACGTGTCCACATTAAGCACAGCTCTGCCTCAGCTGGAGCTGGTCCAAACCCTTACACCTGTATGTGAACATCAGCCCAGGGAAAGCTTCTTTTTAAAAGGGATGAATAAAAAGCAACACAGCAATGTCACCAGCCAGGGTAGTCTCTTCTCCTTGTGGTTATGTGATTGTAACTGAAAATGGACTCAACACTGACCGCTCTGTCTCTCCAGATTCTGTGATAATGAAGTGCTTTATGGCAGCAAAGGACAGAAGGGGACACAGAGGGCATGAGGTTAGCCTGTAGCTCATTCCCAGTGCAGGGGGGGCACAGTAACCAGCAGTGACTGGGCCGATTGAGTAAGTCTGGAGAAACTCTTACCTCAAACTATGCATAAACACTTCACCTGACACCAGCAGAGGGGTCTGACAGGGTTTGGCAATAGCTCAATCCCAGCAGGGGATCTCAGATAACCTGCTCCCTCTTTTAAAGATGGCTGCTCCTCAAATTATTCGATTTATACTATTCAATCAGGCTGAACAGGCTATAGTTACAATCTGGATTTCAGTATAATTCTAAACCTTGTTCTCAGTGAGAGTTTAAAGTTCAGAAGGCTTTATTTTTCATTTGTTGTGTTAAATCATCTGAAGCCCTTTGAGGATGTAACTGTGATTAAGGGCTACAAAAATATGCTTGACTCTCTTTTTGTAATGTCAGGAAAAACAGTTTTTACACCTTGCCAGTTAATTCTTCACATCTTTAAATAATTAAATGTCAATAACGTACAAAACCTTTGCTCTCTTGCTTTTTTTAATAACAAAACTGTATCTCTCCCACTGTTTCCTCTCTTCTGAGATGTTTTTTTTTGTTCTTGTTGAAGCAGTTCGCCATTGAGGATGCTCACATTCCCTCCCACATCAGATGGATTTGTATACTACATATAGTACTAATCATCACAGCGTACTGTATTAGCACTCTGTACAAAAATATTAGCATTTCATACCAATGGGAAATCATGGAAATTGTCTGTTAAAATGCAACAATTGAAATATACAAACTAAAACTCACAAACAGTTATAAAAAAAATAGCATTATTAAGAATTTATTTATAATATTTCTTTGACTTTCAGGGTTTGAATGTTTTTCCATATTTGAGAGGCTCCTCCTCTTCCTGCAGGAAAATACCATTCATCATTTGCAGCAATTTTAAAAGTCTCACTCCATCTTATCTCCTGCCTCTTTATCCTGTTTTAGTCAGATAAATACGAAATTGCAAAATCAGGATAGTTTTCTTGTGACTATAAATATAAAGCACTTCAGCAATCCAGTTTACTGTGCTGAAATTGCAAGTATTGCTCGGTGAATACAGGTGTTCCTCTTTGAGTGAAAAACCCTCTAGTCAACAATGGTCCCCTTGCCAAAGCTCTTAATGACCAAACTGCTCTCTCTACGCCCTAACCCCACACTCACACTCACGTGGGGAGGTCTCTGAAATGAAAATGCCATTATAAAACATTTACCAGCCTGCTGAGTTTACATGTCTTACAAGAAAAGGATTGTTCGGAGTGGTTAAGTGTCACATAAATCTTTCAGCACGCTAATTGAAGTGGTTCCCCCAATAGGCCACTCTCCACAGTTGCTATTACAAATCGCGGATGGGACGACCAGCTGCAAACCAAATCTTACACCCACTTGATAATGTTGTTAAGACACACACATGGCGCTCTGTGGGCTGCTGCTGTTTCTAGTTTGCTCAGACAGCTCTGCTGGGAGCGTGCAATGTAGTCGTATGTAAACACAAGTCATCTTTCAGTGAAGTATGCTCTGAGAAGAGGCTCTCCCCTCCCCTTCTATCTCTTCTTCTTGAAATTCTTTAAAGCTCATTTAATTAGGCAAGTTGAAGAGGAGCATATTGTTATTTCCAGCAGCAGCCTGGGGAAGTAGTTACAGAAGGTAGTGGGGTTACACCTACAATGTGCACCAGCTCAAATCTGAAAGCTGGCATGCTCCACTTAGCTGCCAAGAATCTGCACCAAACCCTCCGAGGATTATGTGCCTTGAGCTTGTTGTTATAGTGCTAGTTAACAAAGATGACCTTCCAGCTGCTTGGAATAACCCCAATCCTGCCACCGAGTGAGAAACTTCATGTTATATATCAGAATCAGAATCAGCTTTACTAGCCAGGTGTGTGGGATTTGATTCAGGTACAGTGGCTCTCAATGTGTACGTACAATGATCTTCTGTAAGGCAACAAATAAACCAGATAATACTGAGAGAACAAAAAAGAAGTACAAGGAATGTAAAAAAAAAAGGAATGTGCATTGGGAAAATAAAAATAAACTTAGAATTATAGAAATATATACACAGTTTAGATGCAGTTTTTCAAAAACATATATGCAAAGGTATATTTACAAGATATTGCACTAAGGGGTTGTCATTCTGTTATACAGTCATGGGTTAAGTGTTCATCAGAGTGATGGCCCGGGCGAAGAAACTGTCCTTTTGTCTGGTTGTTTTGGTGTACAGTGACCTGTAACGCCGTCCAAAGGGGAGGAGTTCAAAGAGTTTGTGAGGGGCCTGCAGAAATCTTCTATGCCCTCCTTTTGACCCATGAGGTGTACAGGTCCTCCATGGAGGGCAGGCTCACACCAATGATCTTTTCAGCAGTCCTGACTGTCCTCTGAAGTCTGTACTTGTCCTGCTTGGTTGCTGAGACAAACCAAACAGTGATGGAGGTGCAGAGAACAGGCTCGATGATTCCTCTGTAGAACTGTATCAGCAGCTCCTGGGGCAGGTCAAACTTCCTGAGGTGGTGCAGGAAGTACATCCTCTGCTGTACCTTCTTGGTGATGGTGCCAATGTTGGACATCCACTTCAGGTCCTGGGAGATAGTGGAGCCCAGGAACTTGAAGGACTTTACTGCTGACACAGTGCTGCTGAGTATGGTGAGCGGGGGTAAGATGGGAGGGCTCCACTGTTCTGAGTGTCTTCAACTCCAGGTTGTTGCAACCACACCACAGGGCCAGCTGTTCAACCTCCTGTCTGTAGGCCTACTTGTCACCATCTTAGATGAGACCGATGACCATTGTGTCATCTGCAAACTTTAGGAGTTTAACAGACGGGTCCTCTGAACTACAATTGTTTGTGTAGAGGGAAAACAGCAGCGGAAAGAGCACACATCCCTGAGCATCACTCCCTCTCATTTGTCCTGTTTTTATGCATAAAACAATCTGAGCAGAAACATAAATTCACTAAAGGTGTGCCCAAGTGCAATGGAAACTTGAGTTTTCATTGAAAAGATGACGCATCAGGTCTGTATGGAGATCGTAGCCTTCCTCACATTAAAATAAGAAACAAATCTTGGGTTTTATTAGTGCTCTTTTAATTATGTCATGCTTTGGTGTCCTCTTTTCCCCCAAAGATTTAATGGCTTTATTTTTTAGTACCAGCAGCTGTTTATTTCAATGAACCAACTTCTAATATTTGCATAATAATAGGTTGTTTGTTTGTTTTGCACTACATTACGATGGAAATTTGACAGCTGAGATTGAGACATGTAAAACAAAGATGTTGAGTCTTTTAACAAACGGTAGTCGGGATGCCATCCTGCACATAGACACAAACACTGTACACGGGTGAGAGAGCAGATCGAGGACACTTTCACTTTTCTCCCAGTTGACACTCTCTGTGATGTCTGTGTGTGCTTCCTGTTTCTCTGCTGCATGTAGGCTGTTCACAAAGTTATAACCGAACCCTGCTGTCCCCATCATGCCTTGCTACATCCTTGGCAACACCTGGCACCCCACTAACCAACACCTGTTCATATAATTAGAAGATCAGTGGAGTGAGAAGAGATGAAGAACTTAATGCAATGTTAATCTGGTCCGATCTAATGGCCAAATATCTGCCTCCTCCCTGCAACAGCAGGTTGCTGTAATAGCCGCCTTATGGGCACCTCCCCTGCCACATAACCTCATCTAAGCCAAAACTCCACTGAGGGGCTGCAGATAGAGGACAGCTGACAGGAGAAAATGAGGAGAGAGGGAAGCCAGCATGCTTCTTCCTGGATGGACAGAGTAGCTGGAAGCCAAATGAACAAGCCTTAAGAGATGAGGTACCTATGCACAGCATTTAGAGTGGCTCTAGATTGCACCAGCTGTGCTGCTCTTGTTTACAAGCTGCCACCTGCCGCCAGAGAGGCCTTGGGCTCAGGTCTACTTTCTGAAGAGCATCTTCTGGTCTGTGTGACAGCCAAAAGCAGGCACCAGTGAAGGGGGGTACCATGACATGAACCAGCTTTGACCCTATCAGTGCTAACAGTTAAAGAAACTGCAAACTGTCCTAAGTGTTTTGTGAGTTAATAAAAAGTTTAGAGCTGCATTTGGCCTATGGAATATTAGTAAATAAAAAAAAAGTCCATCACAAGATCCCAAAACCCAAAATGACATCTTGAAATGATTTATTTTGTCCAACCCACAGTCCAAAAGGCAAATATAACCGTAAAACTTTCGTAAGACTAAATAAACCAGAAAACGCTATCATTTAGGAAGCAAAAATGAGGGGGGTTTGCGATTTTGTTCAACAAACTGCTAAAATGATTAACTGATAATCAAAACAGCCGAAGCAATCAATCATCATCAAAATAATTTTCTGTCAACTGACTAATCAATTAATCTGCTAAGCGTTTCAGCTCTAATAAGATCAGCTGTTTTCCTGCTCGGTGTCTTCTTGTATGAACTCTACTGAATTTGCTTTCTATTTTCCCTGACAGGAAACTTCAGAGGGATGTGTAAACAGATAGACCACTTTCCTGAGGAGACAGATTATGAGGCAGACCCATCTGAGTACTTCTTACGTGAGTATTTTGTCTCTTGATTTTCACAGGAGATTGTGACGGTCTTTAGCTGCTCAGATGTTTGTCTTAGAAGTGACTTGTTTCCTTCCCATGTTCTCTGGAAATGCCTTTGAAATATTTGGTGCCAGTTACCGCCCTTGGCCCGTGTGTCACTGCTGCGTGTAGCATGAGGCCGGCCAGGCCCTGCCAAGCAGCTCGTCTGTTTTTACTGCTTGGCCATGTGTAACATAACGTGTAGTGTTACAGTCGGCTCTGTACCCTGTAAACACAGCACATTGATTTCTGCTCTCTTTTCTTTTGTGTAGGCAAGACATAGCTGCTTGTCGAACTCATCTGCCTACTGATCCTAAAACTCAGAGCTCATGATCTACTGCTAGTCTTGTTATTTCACTGCTCTCCTTTCATTGGCCACTTTAGGTGTTAGTGCTGTTTGATTCCTGATTGTATCATTCTGCAGTCACCCAGTTAAACAGCTGATAAAAATGTTGCTGATGATTTTGCCAGTATTGAATGGTAATCTTCAGTTGTTTATGTTGCTATGGTTACCATTCTGCTACAGTGTAACCAAGAGAGATAGCCGTTTCTATGGTCACTGTCACAGTGTCGCAACAGATGCGAGCTAAAAATGTTTCTATGGTTACAGCTCTGCTCCTCTGTAATCCAGAAATATACACCGACATTCAGGAAGGGCAGTGACTAATTGCAAATATTTGCTGTGACTTAAAATAACTTTGTCCAGTACTTGCACATTATGTGTGGACACTACATAAGTAGATGCACTTTTATTTAGTTTAGTTAAGTTTATTTAGCTTTCAGGCTGAACAGGCCTACTGGGCACTGACCCAGGGATTCAAGGTGTCAGTGGGCCCACGGGCTAGAGCGTCTGTTTGAAGTGAATGTTAACATTTCTTGTTGAAAAGTCAACTGGACAAACACAAAGAGATATAAACCACCACAAAGAAATGCAGAAAGCCATCTTGACTCTGTGGCTCTTGATCTGATGTAGGAGCATATGAAGACCCATTGTTTTATAATCTATCCATGTTTGCAGAGCAAGAGTAGCTTTTATTTTTGCTGTTCTGGTCTAATCAGAGGGATTTTCTTTTTTCTCTGGACATCATTGTTTTGTGTAAGGCAATCTGTTAAGGCAGCTTAGATAAAAAAAACTTCCTGGAACATCACTGAGTTGGAAAAAACATTGTTTAGTGGATCATATCCATATTGGAAAGTCTACATGGACACTGGTAACACAGTAATAGTTCCTCTGCTAGAGTTTGATTGTTTTGGTTATTTCTCAACACCTGTCAACTGTCTACTTGACAAATAAGTGTTGTGGCTTTGGAGGTGTTTAAAGGATAGTTCTCTGATGATTTCCAAGTCAATACTAACATTCACAGAGGGCAGTGACTAATTGTTTAAGCCAAGTGTCCATGAAAACAATGCAACAATTTCTCTTTCTGTGATCGTTCCTACTATTCACACTGGTCATTAAAAATGATCTACAGTTCTTCATCATGTAAAAGTTTATCTCTATAATATATGTAAGTTAACCCTAAGCCCCATAAAGCTCCATTTGTAAGAAGTCAATAAAGAACATGCTAATGAGTAATTCATTACAAGTAATTTGTCTAACCCTGATTTTAAAATGTGCTTTTTTTGGTTATATTTGATAATATGCCACATCAGTTGCTAACTTTAGCTCTAATACTGTCGAGTCACATAAACACACTAGCGTGCTGAGTCTCTGTTGACCCCTGATGTGGTGCACCCCGCCAGTCCTCCCTCTCCTCCTCTGCCCTGCTGCAGCCTGCAGTGGTTTGAAACAAGAAGTCAGAATAGTGTACGTCTCCTCGTCTCCATCAGTAACCGAGGCTTCTGAGACAGTGTGTGCCAGTGCTAGAGATTAAGCCCTGCCAATTAGGCTGTGTTTGACTGTTTGTGCCACAGAGAGCGGTAATGATAACAGCTCAGGTAATGAGCCTAACAATGCCGGATCCTCAGTGAAGGCAGATCAGTCTCATAATGAGGAATTGCAGGCTGGGGATGTCAGGGTCATGGGGTATAGGCCCTCAAATCACCAACACTTATCTACACAAGTGTGTGCATGAGTGTGTGTTAACCTCTTCCCACACTGTGCTTGGAGGAGAAGGCCGCAGTGCTCCCAGTGGCTTGCCAATTAGGACATTCATATCCATAAATATTTCAGCCTCCTTCTTATATAGGTCAGGCCTCTCTCGATCACTGTCTCTCTCATGCTCTCTCGCCTCTCTTCACCCATAATATTTCATGTCAGGAGTTGTACAGTACCTATTGTCATGACTCAGACCACCATTAAGCTATTTAAATGAGTGAGAACAATTTTACTGGGTTCATGAAGAGGTCATAGGGGATGCAGCATCTTGTATTAATCCCCAGTGTTGTGTTCTTAAATCTACCTATTCCTATTCTATGGACATATAGCTGGTATTTCTATGAAGAGGAGTTTCACAGCATCTCTGTGAGGCCAGAGAGGAAGAAGGGCTGCCTCTGCTCACACATGCAAGTGAGGGAGAGGGGGGAGAGTTATGTAACAAACATGTCAGTTCAGGTGAAGGCCCAGCGGAAGTGACATCACCGGGGAGCTCACCGGTCCAAAATCGAGGGGACACGCCTGTGATGTCATCAGACATAGCATTGAGGAGGAGGGAGATATTTGGTGATGTAGCTGCCAAGCAGAAAAGAGACTGATCTGACTGTGCACCCCCACTTCATCACACGCACACAATGCTCTGCTGTCCCTGTGCCAACATCTACACTCACACAGATACATACAAACGTAGCACATATCAGTAGCTTCTCTCAGTGTGTCTGTTTCATTAGTCCTCAGCTCTCCCAATAGCAAGGCAGTTTGCACATCCACACAGTGTTATATAAGCCAACTGAGCCACACTAAAGTGCCAGTGGGTTTTTAGATCATGCCATGTTGGAGCTCCCATCATCCACTGCTCTACTGTGCACAGAGCAGACAGAGAAGAAAGGGAGGAGAAAGAACTCCCAGCTATGGAAGCTGCTAAAGCTAAACTGAAAGACATCAATTCACTACAACATAGAGAGAGGAAGCTCATATGAGGGGAGGAGAGAAGCATGTGTCTGATTCACATGGATGGATGCCGGAGTAGGAAATTAACTTAGAAGGGGGCCTGAAATGGCTGTTTAGGCGCATCGTGCTTGTTCTTGGGTACTATATAATATACTGTAATAAAACAGTTCCAATTACTTGATTAGTCTAACGATTATTTCATTTATCAATTACCCTGCAAATTGTTTCCTATAAAAGAGTTTACAATTTCACAGTTTTCCACATTTCAAGGTGATGTTTTTAAATTTCTGGTTTTATCTGAACAGCAATCCAAAACCCAAATATATTCAATTTACAATTGTATAAAACATAAAAAAAGCTGTAAATCCTCAAATTTAAGAGGCTGAAATCAGAGAATTCTTTAGCATTTTTGTAAAAAAAAATTACTTAAACAGTTCAGTATTGAAATAGCTGGTGATTAATTTCCAGTCAGATGATTAATCATATAATATTATTCAAATAATTGTTCATGTTTTACAAGCAAGCATCCCAACCATGCACTGATTCCATCTTCACAAATGTGAGATTTGTCTGCTTAAATTGTTGTTAGGACAAAACGAGCAATGTCACCTTGTGCTCTACAACACTGTGATGAGCATTTTTTGCTATTAACCTGATGATTAACCCAGAAAATACCTGCCAGATTAACTGATGATGAAATTAACCACTCTGTGTAGAGCCTGCAGCAGGTCTGACAGAGGACAGTGGTGTCAATTTTTTTGTTCCAGCCCATTTTCTATCATTTCCCTGCTGATTTAATTATTTCATGTATTTATTTATTTATTTATTTATTTATTTATTTATTTATTTATTTATTTATTTATTTATTTATTTATTTATTTATTTATTTATTTATTTATTTATTTATTTATTTGTTTTATCAAAGATGTTTTGCATTGTCCTCAGCTGCCGGCCACATTGTGCCAACATTTTCTAATCCTTCAGGCTACGTATTTGCTTTTTCAAAATCCAGCAGTCCACTGGAATCTCCCTGTCCGGCTGCGTGTTTTAGTTCCATACTATAGGCAAATACTATACACCATATTCTAATGTTAATACTGTTTTTACAATGAAAATTCAGGAAACTGGTGTGCTATTTTAAAGATGAATGATTCAAAGTGTGTGTCAGTCAGTTTACAGCTTCTTAATGTCACGTTAACAATTAACGATTTACAGTATTTGTATGCACTTTTTAAAACACAAGTATTTCACAGTTTGGGACCATAGCAACTGAAAGACGATTCTCCAAATTGAGCATGGACATGTGGGAGTAGATATTAATTTACTATGGGATGATCTGACTGATCTGTTTGGATAAGGATAATCACCTTTACTTGGCGAAGGATGTTACACACAAGAAATTTGTGGCTCTAACTATCAGGGTCAACTAGGGGGTTCAGTGTCTTGCTTAAGGACACTTCGACACATGGACTCCAGGAAAAGAGATTTGAACCTCCGACTCTCTGGTTGGGAGACGGCTGCTCTACCCACTGAACCACAGTCACCTCATGGATACGTTTGGAACATATCCATCCATCCGTTCATTATTTATACTGCTTATTCCCGAATAGGGTCATGTGGGGGCTGGAGCTTATAACGGCTGACATTGGGCGATAGGCGGGGTACACCCTGGGCAGGTCGCCAGTGTATCATAGGTTTGGAACATATCATTTGAGCAAATTGCTGAGGTAAACAGAGGCAACGCCATGGGGGCACTTAAAGATTAAAAGAAGCACCCGAAACTTTATTGTAAAGAACACAGGTACCCTGTGCAGGGATTTTAGAACTGAAGTGATATGGCCTTTCCTCCTAGTCCAGTTTAAGATTTTTCCTGCAGTATCCTGTACCCACTGTAGGTGTGCAAGTAAATTTACAAGCAGAC